CCGTTGGTTGCCTGTGTTAACCATCCCAATTAAAAAGAAAAACACCGAGCTGTTGAGTTTTATACTCTACATGGCTGACCAATATGGTTTGGAGCAAGATGATTAAAATTCTATTACAGGCAGCATAGAATGCTTGATTTAACAGGACATGCCCAGCCCTTATTGCCAGGGATGACTTGACAGGCTCCGTCCTATCCAGCTCCCTGTGATAAAGTCCACTCAAGTCAGAAAGTCACTTATCGCCAAGGAAATGGAGACACTTACAGGCTATCAGCTGGCATTTTCAAAGGAGCCTAACAGAGTTAGGCACCCAAATCCCTTTGAATATCCGAGCCAGATCTGCCGACCTCACCATGCTCTGAGAATAATTTAAAGTTTCTCCAGAGTTTTGAAGATGTGATGTACACGATACGTGCTAAGTCACATCATTCATATAATAAAATACACAGGGATTGCTGAAACACGGCAACTTGTGGGGTGGAACAAAGCAGCTGTTTAACAGTGCACAGCAGTACAGCTAATAAACTTTACGACACAGGGTAGCTTGTTAGTATGTATTAAACACTCCTTTTTGGCAGTGTCAAATGCTGTGTTACTACGGGGTGGGAGAGGGGGATGTGCAGAGGTTTCGCTTCAGTAACAGCTCCGAGTGAGGAGGTAGTTGTATAAAGGAGACACAGACTTTCAGTACTTGCGTTACTTAAAGCGTCATGCTGCTCTTACCGCCGGTCACCTCCAAGACTACATCCAAACAGCATTGCTGAAATGCAGCCACCTCTGAGAGTGGTGCCCAAGCCATCTGTTACCCAGCATGCTGCCAAGAGAGGGGAAGGCACAGCACAATCAAGGACGTTGCGGGAAAGGCCTCCTCTTATGAAAAGGGCCATGGCCATGAGATCTTCAGCATCCATGCAGAGGAGCGAGGACCTTGCTTTTTATGACCTGTTGGAAAGACTTGCTGTGCACAGTAAAGTGACTGGGAAAGGGGGCTGCACTATGGCGTCCTAATGTATTTCAGGAGAAATTCAGCTGCCCATGGAAGAGGAATTCCGGCACGCTCACTTCGGTTTAGAAGAACGCGCCCGACTTTTCCAAAGACAGCTTGGTGCTCCCGTGGTAGCTGCCCTCTGAGGAGCTCCATGCACTTTAACCACACTGATGAATTAAGTCATGCAACTCCCCTCTGTCATACCTCTGAGCTCCATTTCGCAAATCGCCTCTGGGCCTAAACCTCCCTAGGTGGCTTGTCTCAGGTCTCACAGCAAGTCTGTGGCAGCGCAGGAACAGAACCCACAGTCCATGTTCTTCAGCGACCCAGTCCTGTGTCCTGGGTGCATTTCCTAGCTATGTAGGTCTGTTTACCAGAGGCATGTGCACGCTGTCAGAGCAGAAATGTAACAAGTAGGAAACGCGTTTAACAGAGTTAAAAGTGAGACAAGTAATACCACACACAGTGAGCCAGGTGGGCCAGGCATTCATTTCACTTGCTCTTCAGTGGTGTCGACAGGGAAGCTGAGGCAGAACAGGCTAGTTTTCTTTCTGTGCCTCCCATCCAATACCCTTCTCATGCAGTGCACCTTGGCTACATTAAATATTGGTCAGATACCTGGCTGATGGCCAACACCGGATTAAATTCCAATTGTCTACAGGAGGCTTTTGGGTGGCTCAACCTGCTGGACTCTAGGATTTGTTTCTAGCCTGGTTTGACTACCAAGTGCAGCTAGCCTCACCTGGAAAGAAGGAAATTGAAGCAAGATGCTCTCAGCAGGACTGTCTTCCTGGCCGCCTGGTGCTTTTTCACTTGAAAGCAGCCGCCGACTCATTGAACTATGCTGTGGATCCCACTTTCTCATATATGGTAACGTGCAGGAAGCTAAGCATTCGTGGGTATTTAAATTCTGATTGGGCGCTATCCCTGTTGTCTCTTCCACGAGAGACTGAACACCTTGGAACTCCAGACAAACCAGTTGCTCCTTTATGCCTGCTCTGATCCCCATTAGCCATCCTCCCTCAGCTATTGGTGGTATGGTTACCAAGCAGACCCCATCCACCTTCCCAGGGGAGGGGAAGGGGGGAGACCCATGTCACCGTCTGTGATTGTCTGTATTTGCCTCTGGGGAGACATTTCAGCTGATTATTATTATAGCAACAGGACAAGAAGCAGGCTGAGCCTGAGTGAGTTAGTAATGCTGTCTCTGGAGCTCCCCTGTAGAACTGGCTGGAAAATGAAAAGGAGTACTTGTGGCACCTTAGAGACTAACCAATTTATTTGAGCATAAGCTTTCGTGAGCTACAGCTCACTTCATCGGATGCATACTGTGGAAAGTGTAGAAGATCTTTTTATATACACACAAAGCATGAAAAAATACCTCCTCCCACCCCACTCTCCTCCTGGTAATAGCTTATCTAAAGTGATCACTCTCCTTACAATGTGTATGATAATCAAGGTGGGCTATTTCCAGCACAAATCCAGGGTTTAACAGGAATGTCTGGGGGGGGGGGGTAGACAAAAACAAGGGGAAATAGATTACCTTGCATAATGACTTAGCCACTCCCAGCCTCTATTCAAGCCTAAGTTAATTGTATCCAATTTGCAAAAGAATTCCAATTCAACAGTTTCTCGCTGGAGTCTGGATTTGAAGTTTTTTTGTTTTAATATTGCGACGGTTAGGTCTGAGATCGAGTGACCAGAGAGATTCCGTCACCTTCAGCCCCCAACTAAAACCCCTCCAACGCATTATTAGGGATCTACAACCTATCCTGAAAGATGACCCAACACTCTCACAAATCTTGAGAGACAGGCCAGTCCTTGCCTACAGACAGCCCCCCAACCTGAAGCAAATACTCACCAGCAACCACACACCACACAACAGAACCACTAACCCAGGAAGCTATCCTTGCAACAAAGCCCGTTGCCAACTGTGCCCACATATCTATTCAGGGGACACCATCACAGGGCCTAATAACATCAACCACACTATCAGAGGCTCGTTCACCTGCACATCCACCAATGTGATATATGCCATCATGTGCCAGCAATGCCCCTCTGCCATGTACATTGGTCAAACTGGACAGTCTCTACGTAAAAGAATAAATGGACACAAATCAGATGTCAAGAATTATAACATTCATAAACCAGTCGGAGAACACTTCAATCTCTCTGGTCACTCGATCTCAGACGTAAAGGTCGCAATATTAAAAACAAAAAAACTTCAAATCCAGACTCCAGCAAGAAACTGTTGAATTGGAATTCATTTGCAAATTGGATACAATTAACTTAGGTTACTTTGCATAATGACTTAGCCACTCCCAGTCTCTATTCAAGCCTATTTCCCCTTGAAGAAAAGGAGTACTTGTGGCACCTTAGAGACTAACCAATATAGTCTCTAAGGTGCCACAAGTACTCCTTTTCTTTTTGCGAATACAGACTAACACGGCTGTTACTCTGAAACCTATTTCCCCTTGTTTTTTCCTACCCCCCCCCCCCCCAGACGTTCCTGTTAAACCCTGGATTTGTGCTGGAAATGGCCCACCTTGATTATCATACACATTGTAAGGAGAGTGGTCACTTTAGATAAGCTATTACCAGCAGGAGAGTGGGGTGGGAGGAGGTATTGTTTCATGGTCTCTGTGTGTATATAATGTCTTCTGCAGTTTCCACAGTATGCCTCCGATGAAGTGAGCTGTAGCTCACGAAAGCTTATGCTCAAATAAATTGTTTAGTCTCTAAGGTGCCACAAGTACTCCTTTTCTTTTTGCGAATACAGACTAACACGGCTGTTACTCTGAAACCTGGCTGGAAAATGTGGGCCAAGTACCTTCTGCCTCCGGTGGCCTGGGAGCAGGCATGTACTAGCAGAGGATTCCACAAACAAGGCCCTGTGACAGGCGAGTCCCAAACACAAGAAGGGATCATGCTCAGGCCTGCCATGGAGTCAGCACCCAGTGTCTGGTTCTCTTTGCCCCAAGCAGGTTTCTGCTTTGGTTGCTTGGCAGGCTTCTATCGACATGGTTTCTTAGGGGTCAGCTGCCCAGGCAGGGCCAATTAATACAAATCTTTCCTGTCCTGTTTTCTCATTTCCCAGTTTGAGTGCCAGCGTTAATTTGCTGTCTGTTGCCTTTGAGCACCAGCTGGCCTGGTCACGTCCAGGCAGGGGGGTTACCCGAGAACAACAGAGGCTTCCAAACAGCTGCAAAGGAGTTCCCTTTTTTATAGACAGGAAAGGGACACCAAGGGAGGTGATATGATTCAGTTCAGGCCACATAGCAAGTGGCGCAGGACCGGGATCAGAACTCACTCTTTTCTGCCTGCCAGGCGGCTCTTGATTGCCTTGGCATGAGCTCGGTGGTGCCAGGACTCTCTGTATTTTGCTCTGGGGTATACAGCACTCGTTATCAAGGGGATAGCTCCTTGGGTTCCATTCCAGCTGGCCAGTCATGTGCAGCCTCTCCCGCTGGCCACAGCCCCATCCCTGCATGTGACGCTGCTGGGGCATGGGAGGGTGAGACTGTGGGTGAGGTATAATGAAAAGTAACATTTAAAAATGCAGAACTATTTACATTGGCTTAAAGGAATCCAGCTTATGTAGGGGGTGGGGGGTGTTCAAACCTCTTTTAGGCCAGCTGATGGGGGGGGGGGGGGCGAGGCGCCAAGCTCATGCTCAAATAAATTGGTTAGTCTCTAAGGTGCCACAAGTACTCCTTTTCTTTTTGCGAATACAGACTAACACGGCTGTTCCTCTGAAACCGGCTTAGGATAGGTTTGTTAGGAATGGAAACTAAGGGTTAAGTTCTGGTCCCATTGAAGTCAATGGCAAAACTCCCATCGACTTCAGTACGGCCAGGATTTCCCCCCCAGCTCTCATTGTGATGGATCAGAATGAGCGATGCACGCCCAGCCCGAGGCAGGTATCGATGTGCGGGAGCAGGGCCTAATGTCTGGAATAATCACATGGGGACAAGCTTTTTTAAAAACCACATGTCTTTGTTGTATTGTCCAGGTTCCACCATACTGGCTGAGAGACTGGGCCCATCTACACCGAGCTCTCCCACTTCAGCCCCAAATTCCCCCACGGGTCTCTGCAGCGGGGTTTCTGATCCAATACTGAGTACGTGTGGCTCCGGTCGGCTCTGCAGCTCCATCAATGGTGAGTGTGCCTCGCACACATTCGCGGGTTCCCTGCCATGTTCTGCACAGCCACCCTTCCAGGTCTCCGTTCAGTGCCCATTAGTGCTCTAAATGCATGGGGCGGCATACATCTATGCACCTGTCAGCTCCCGCAGTGAGTAAGGGAGAAGAGCTAGAGACCCATGAGGTCCCTAGGGGAATGTTTTTACGTGGAAGCCACCCAGATGCTTTGATACTGGACAGCAATCATTTTGTAGGCTTTTTCATCATCAAAAATCTCCAAGGGGGACAACAAACTTTCTAGACTGTGTACACCCTCCTGTGAAATGCAGCTGCCTCTGGGGAGAATCCTGAAGGCTGTTTACATTGATATTCTCTACCAGAGCCAGTTCCCATAATCCCAGAGGCTGTCATAAGCTTCCATCCAGCCTCACAAGCTCTCAGGAAGAGAGGGAGGCAGGCAGAATTCCCGTTGCACCAAGAGGTCGTGGCTGTTTGTATGAGGGTAGTGCCTGGTGTCACCCATGCACATCCCTGCCCAGAGAACCCACGGGCTGTGACTTGCCCAAGGCCACAGTCCCCTGCTCATGTCACCAAGCAATGCACCAATCTTCGAGCTGCTGCCACCATTGCTCTGCCCTCCCTTCCAACCGTTAAACAGTAGCCAACCCATTTGGCAGCTTCCAATTTGCCCTCTGTAGTGAATGTTTGTACAGTGCTTGGACACTGCAGAGCTCCCTCTGCGGGCCAGCTGGGCGTGCGATCAGACAGCCAGTTTTCCCATTGGCCCCCGGTGCAGTGAGCAACTGTTTTGTTGCAGTGCATTGGCCACAAACTCTAGGCAAACGGCACAGCTGTACTACTAATCCCATGACAAAAGCAATGTTACCCACCCTCAGAATCCCTTGCATTTATAGAGCCCCTTCCTTGCCAAGAGCTCTGCCCCCTTTCCAGACATACCTTGGGCCTCTCGCCACAGGTCAGGTGAGCTAGGTTCAGAGTTATGGTGCCCATTTGCCGGATGAGGAAGTGGGGAGTGACTTGCCCAAGGCCGTGCAGTGCATCAGTGGCAGAACCGAAAACAAAGCACCAGACGCCTGCCTCTCAGGCGTGTGTCCTTAACACATGACCACCCTCCATCCCTGCATGGACTTTCTGTGACCTGTTGTTAGAAGAAACAGATTTCTTAGGCTGTGTCTACACTACAGCACCTATGGTGGCATAGTCCCCTGGTGTAGGCACAATTTATGCCAACAGAAGTGGTTTTCCGCCAGCATCGGAACACCACCTCCCCGCACAACGTTGGCTATGCTGCCCGAAGCCCCCTTCCGTCAGCATTGCTGTATCTGCACTGCAGGTTTGTTGGCAGAACAGTGCCAAGCCGGGGTGTGGGATTTTTCATGTGCTAGAGCAGAGCCCTGAGGGATTCTCCCTTCCTCATTGGTGCAGCATTGTGCACAGAGTCAGGTGCATTATGGCCTTTTCTCACCTTCCACTGAGGCCTCAGCGACTGGACACAGTTAGCTGCAAAGCTATTGAAGGAGACCTGTTAAATCACCCATTCTACCCCCTGCCTGTGCAGGGTGCTCCCTGCAGTTCTAGGTGCAGCAGCAGCAGTCTGCTCTGACCGAGTCACTCCTCTCTCCCCTAACCCTGAAAAGCTCATGACTGAGTAAAGAGCGACCGTGTTCCTTGCATTTCAGGCACAGCTCCAAACTCCCCGGTCAGCATGCCGGAGTCACCCATCTCCCCATCTGGCTCAGGGGTCTGGGGGGACGAGTGCACCATCTGCTACGAGAACATGGTAGATACCGTCATTTACTCCTGCGGACACATGTGTCTCTGCTACCCGTGTGGGCTGAAACTCAAGAAGATGGCCAACGCCTGCTGCCCGATCTGCAGACGGGCCATCAAGGATATCATCAAAACATATCGCAGCACTTAGAACAGCAGTATGGATGGGGGGGGGGGAACGCTGTGGGCGGGGGGCAGACGTGAGAGGAGCGAGGGGTCTCTGTCTTCACTCATCATCTGTGAAATTCAACATCTGAACCACCCCAAGGAGGCTGGAGGTGGGGAGGGGAGGGTCCTGCTGGTGATGGCTCTTCCACTCCCCCTTGTCCCCCATGGGTTCTGAACTCCAGCACATCAGGGAAGGCAAGATGAACCTCTCTTTCTAATGGTTTTACATTTTAATCTCAAGAAAACAGCTGGAGCTGTTCTTCCTCTTCTACACCGTGCCCAGGGATGTCCTTCTCCCCAGTGGACAGCAACTGTAGGTAGCTGGTGAGTGGCAATAATCCAGAGAAGAAAGGAGGCCTTTTGGGGGCAACTGACCTCCCATCTCACAAAAGCCTCTTAAAAGGGCAGGGCTGCATGGGCCATTCAGAAGAGCTGGGTGTCCAGCAGGAGCTCTGGCACAAAGGGTGTGAAAGGACGAGTCTGGCAGGAGAGAAATTATAAATCCAAACCCTTTTGCTGGTGGCAAAAAAGCTCCCAGTAACCCTGCTCTCTCTTTGCTCTCCTGAGAGCAGTGGCCGGTGAATAGAAATCAACGTGTTGAGTGCTTCATGGGGGGAGAGTGGGCCTGTGGATTTTTGGTAATGGAGAAATGCATGGTGGGGTGGTGGTGGGGAACAGATGGGTGTGCTGCATGTGGTTCCTGCGAAAGACTCTAGTGTTGGGCATGGCTCTGCGTGTTGCCTTCCAGCAAGATGACACCCTCAGGCTTACGTTTGCCCTTCAGCATCCTTTCCTCACCAGCCGGCTCCCTCCTGTCTGACTCATTGGGGCGCTGCATGACTATAACCCCACTGCACCGATGCTTGCTCCTTAGTTCTCCCTGCCCTTCCCATCAGCGTTTCACAAGCCAAAAGCCTCTTCCCCCCCACCCCACACTCAGCATTTGTGAAAAACACTGAGGAAGAATGTCTACAACCCCCCTTTCCTCCCCCGCGCTCTTTTTTTTTTTATGGTAGAGTGTTAAATGTCTCTAAAGGAAGGAAACCTGGTTCGTGATCGCACGCTCTTGGCCACACTGATGTGGTCAATGCACTTAGTCATCAACAAGCGAAAAAAGGAAGAAAGTGGCTTAAAGTGGATTTTGTTTCTTTGTTTTAAAGAAGGAGCTTCTGATCACTCAAGGGCTGGGGAGGAGGGAGAGAAGTGGGCTTTGGCTGCTGCTCCTGCCGCCCCTGTTAGTTTCAGAGTGGCCAGATTCTCTGCATCCCACCCATTTTGTGCGTCTATTTGCGAGTCCTTGTGAGCACTCAGTGTCATACTGGGCGGCCACCAGGCTCTACCGGGGCTCATTCAGTCCGCAGTCATCTCAGTTTAGGTCTGTCAGTCCTCCCTGGTCCGCATCTGCAATACGAGCAAGGCACGCCGCATCCCTCTGGGGCTGAGCGTGCCAGCCTGTGGTGCCCATGGAGTTCACGAGGCTGAGCGTGGTGGCAAACTCGAGGCCTAGTGATTTTGTATCTAACGGGAGACACTGTAAAGCGTCCTCGTTTTCAGAACGCGACAAGCCCCATCCGGCAACCAGGCGCCTCTGACCAGACTCAAATGCGGCACTTCTGAAAATCTTCGATGAGGCGCTTGACCTCAGCTAGCGCCCATTGACTTCAGCGGGAGATCAAGCAAGGCCCCAGCCTGGTGGGAAGTATTAGAAGGAGCAAGTCTGCTGCTTTTCAGGAGGCTGCACAGCAGAGAAGGCAAGCAAGATGTGGCCCATTTATTCTATTTGCGAGTGTTAATGGCCCCAGAACACACACACCTTGCCCCAGTCTAGCATTGACAGATCATGGGCTCAGTCACCTTGGCCCAGGGCTGTAGCTCATGTACCTCTGCATGGCCCCTTGGCTGCAATGAGAGCGGGGCCACTGCAGGCCCAGGCCTTTTGCTTTATGTGCTGGCCTCCTGTGAGCTTTTACTGAAGCAAATTCACAGTCAGTTCTATTAGACACTGAGAAACCGGTAACCCTGCGAGCAAGAGCAGTTAGGTATTGGCACATCAGGCCCCATGTGCATTTCAGGGCATGGGGCTTTCTCCCCACCCTACACCTGAAAGCATTGAAATGGAGAGTCTTTGTTGTATGCAGGGAAGTGGCTCTGCTCAGTAACAAATGACGCTGATTTGCTAAAAAACATGAGCAAAGTGCTGCTGCTCCCCATGGCTCCACCGCCCACCCTGCCTGCTTTTCATGAGTGCAACTTACTTTTCAGTGCTGCTCGCGGGAGGAAGCCTGTGGCTGACGTAGACCCAGACTGCAACAGGGCGCTCACATTTGTAAGTAGCTGAAAGTGTTGAAGATGAACAAATAGCCTCTGTCTGCCCTAAGTACCAGGGCCCAGCTCCTCCACTCTTGCTAAACTGACTGATACCAGCTGAGGTCTGGGCCAAGGCACGATCCTTACAGCGAGCCATGAGAGCTTTCTGTGGGCCCTGTTGCTTTACAAAGCCAGCACGTTCTTCACAGCAGCCAGCAAGCCTGCTCCTGCATGCCAAACTTGGGCAAAACTCACATGCTCGCAGGAACCGCAGGCTCAGACACCTGTAAGGAGCAAATGGGGAGACATGTTGGTGATGAGCTGGGGGGGGGGGCGGAGGGTGTTACATAAAACTAGTTTGGTTTTTGCTTTTCCTTGTAAGACATCACCAGCTGGCTGGTGGGGAAGGTGGGATGTGAATTGAGAAGAGGAAAAAAAAAGATCCTATCAAAAGCATAATGAAATTAATACCTAATTATTTTCCCCATGAAGTACTGTAGCACTGTAAGCATCTACCCCCGCCCCCCGCAGCAGCTGACTAGCGCCCCCCCCCCCAGCTGATGCAGGTGTATCAGCAGCCCTCATGGTGTGCAGCAAACAATCCTCTTGTGCCAGTAGATTTTTGCCAATAGTCCCAGATACTGTATTTGTTTCTATATTGTAGATTTTAATATATAGAGTTATGGCGCTGGAATTAATTCCCCTGCCACTCTGCAGCATCCTCACCGACAGCCGGCTGTAGAAAGGAGCAACTCAGTGCAGAGGCAGCCTTCTGCCGATTTTCTTAATAAAAGTTATCTTGATTCTGCTACTGTGAATGGAAAGCTGCTGCGTCCCCAGGGATTGGTTTAGCCGGAGAATGCATTTTTAAAGCATCACTTTTAAGAGGGATGGTCTTGTGACATAAGATGGGTGGCGTGTAACCCCCTTGGGGGAATCTCAGCTGAGCCCCAACTTCAGCAGCCACCTTGGGCTTACAGAGCGTGTAGTTCCTACATTTTAATTCTTACAGCACCTGAAATGCCCACAGTCCTGCCCACCACATTACCACCCAAGGCTAGAACTGCCAACTGTACTCCTGTGAAACAGCCCTTTGAAGTCATGGGGGTCAGACAGGCCTTGTGTGAGCTTTGCAGGCGTGGACTCCAAACTCAGCAGGGCTAGCACATGGGCGACTAAGTGCAAACACGGTTGGCTTTCAATGAAAATGATCACTGACTTGCCCAAACACTCAGAGCAGAGGGACAGCTACAAGGTTTACACCAGCTGCTGGCCCTAACCTTGCAGCCCCCCCCCCCCCACAGGTGTAGGGCTAAGAGAGTAAGGAATCGGGAAGAAACATTGGGGGGGGGGGGGAGCAGGGAAATTAGCACATATATATAAAGCCAACACAGTCAGCATCATCCCCACGCCGTCTGTCCAGGCTAGGCTGGTTAATGGTTACATCGTGACTTTTAAAGAAGGGACAAACAGGGATAAGAGTGGTCATGTGGCACTGTACCAGCCCTAATTGACTTGCGGGTGTTTAAATGTAATAAAATATGTTTGTTTTACTGTGGGTCAAACGCCAGGTGTTAGCAGAAGCTTTGTCAAGTAGGCTGGGGAGTTAGGATAGGGCTACACTAAGCCTGGATGCAGGTTCAAGTTTGAGCCCAAGTGCCCTTCTGCCAACATCCAAATCAGCCGGACTCAGATCAGGAAGCACTAGGGTTGCCAACTTTCTAGTTGCACAAAACTTGAACATCCTAGCCCTGCCCCTTCCCCAAGGCCCTGCCCCCCCCCCCACTCACTACATTCCCCCACCCTCACTGAGCTCTGGCAGGGGTTTGGGGTGCAGGAGCATAGGCTTACCTCAGGCAGCTCATAGTCAGCAGGGGGGTGAGGGCTAAGGCAGGCTGCGTGCCTGGCCTGGCACTGCGCTGCATGTGCCCTGGAAGCAGCCAGCAGGTCCGGGTCCTAGGCTAGGGGGCCAGGAGGCTCCACACGCTGCTCTTGCCTGCAGGTGTGGTGCCCCCCCCCCCAGCTCCCATTCGGAGCCAGTAGTGGGGGCAGGGGCAATCTCCAGAGCCCCCTGGCGCTCCCACCTAGGAGCCAGACCTGTCCTTCTGGGGCACAGCGCGGTGCCACCCAGGACAGGTACAGACTAGCTTGCCTTAGCACCACAGACCAGGCATTTAACAGCCCAGTCAGGGGTGCTGACCGGAGCCACCAGTGTCCCTTTTCGACAGGGTGTGCTGATCGAAAACCAGAGACCTGGTCACCCTAGGACGGACTCAGGCCCCTGCTAGGAGAGCAGATCAGAGCCCCAGTACTGCTGTGACTCAGGGCCAAACCCTGTCATTTTGCAGTGTGGTCACAGCTCAAGCCAAGTCAGGTGGTCTGTACAGGGCAACAGGAATGCAATAGCACAGCTGCGAGACCTGGGGCCAGCACCTGTAAACTCAGCTTAATGCTGCAGTGTGAGTGCTGACTCATAGGCTTGGAAACACGGCATCCATGAGCCTGGGTGGCACAGCCCTGGGCTGTAGTATGCCAAGTAGCCATGCCACTGGGGGGGGGGGGTGGCGGCTCCGTTTCCTGGTGTCGTTTGGCTAATGCCACAGTAGAAGCACGGTCCGGCCCAGGGAGCTCAGGGCTGGGCTGGCTGCAAGCAGAAGCAGTAACAAAACAAAACTAACTTTTGTTGGCTT